CCGATGTCATCGTCAAGGGGTTTTTCCAGTCTAAACACCACTTTAACATCTGACCCATCCTTCACCAAATTGCTATCCACAAGCAGTATTGTTTCACTCCGTCAACTTTTTGCTTTATCTATTTTTTTCTCAAACAAATGAAAAAAAAAAAGAAGGAAGTTACGTTTCACATATAAGCAGAATTGTTCATAACCATTTTTGGTTCTCACCAGTCGATGTGCAATTGAAATGCTCCGAAACGAAGTTGCATCTTTGTAGTGAGTAAACTGTTTTTGTGTATATATGAAAAAAATTATAATAAATAATTATTGCTGTACTATCGATATCGAGCCCTCTTTTGAATTAATGCTGTGAATGTTAGAATTTATAAATTATTTTTGTCTTTATTGCATCGGATATATATATATATATATATATATTGAATGAGTGAGAATACTTTTAGGGGGCTAATAATTTTTCATTCATATAAATTTGTTTAAAGGCCAATAAGTATTTTTCTTTATTTTTTTTTTTACTGTTTTTCTTAATTTTTATTTCGTGATTAAATATAGATTCTCTATGTCTGTGTATTTCGCATTCGATAGTCCATTCTGAAAAATTACGTTTTTTGTGCTATGTCAGTTTCATTGTTTCTCAAATAACACATATCGTAAAATATCGTATCTTAAAGCGAAAGTTCGTGTTGTATCGTGAAGATGCAACATGTTTTTAAAAACAGAAGGAATTATGTGTGTGGCGTGATGAAATTGTCATTGTATTAAAACAAAAGAATAACAAAAATTCATGTTTCAAAAATAGTTTATAAACGTTGAAATTTCTCAAACACTGGACAATCGTATTCAAATCCTTACCAGAGACCAAGAAAAGGATCCGGGATATGGAACGAAAAATAAGTATAAAAATCCTTAACAGTAAATGTTCATCAGTTTTAATCGTGCACCATTACGTCCACATAAGTGCACACAAATACGCACGTATGGACATGCCCCACCACACACTTATACACACGCACAAACACACAGACCGCCAAAAATCTATACAAACTTCAGGAAATAAAAACTTATATAGATATTGTAATACTAAATTTATTCAGATATCGCGATATTAATAAAAGTTAGGGGGCACCGTAGAGTAATGGATAGTGGCTCGTTTTGAGGAATTGAGTTCGAATTCCAGTCGAATCCATTGATTTCACTTACGTGCTAATACCCTTGAAAAAGGTATGAATCCTCTTCTTCTTCCCCGGCTATGGGTAAATAGCCTTGGATGGCAACTGGACAACCGCAGAAAGAAATGGCATCCTTCTGCTGGAAAAAATAATCTGTTTCGCCAGTCATTTATCGAAAACTACATGATCGTCTAAGCGTGTATCACACATGGCATATAACTGACTGAATACAAGTTAACTTTGGACTCTACAAACACAAGAGATACTCAAAATGGTGGTCTTTAGCTTCCAGACATTTATTAGTACGGCGAACTCATGCTTACGAAACGTTGGCCAAAGTGTCCAGTGGGTGTGCTGCACATGCTTTTTCAATTTCTTGTCTAAGTGCCGGCAATTTAGTCAGTTTTCTACAATACACATTAGGATCCCCTATAGTAGACAGTGTTATCAAAATTTGATAAAACTATGAAAGACAAGTTTTTCCTTTCTTGAAATATATATACAAATTTGGGGCGAATTCTGTATATTATTAAAATCTAAGGACAAGGTCAGGTCTTTTATATTTCCTAGTTTGCGTATAAGCTGTCGCACCCGATGAATATATGCAGGTATCCCTCGATTAGTGCGGCTAATGTGTACATCTTTCGACAGTTTGCGATTCGTGAGTGGGGTTCTTAGATGTTTAGATTGGGGATACGTGACGGGGGAAATGTAACCAGTAATGTTACCGCACTAATCGAGTAATATGTATCCATTAATTGAATTTTGGTATATAAAAATTTTAGCGCACTAATCAAAAAGGTATAAATCGAATGCGCACTAATCGAGGGATTCCTGTATTTGGCAAATTGTTCAAAGTTAATAAGGTTCTTGTTAATGTACTTTCTATTATGTTCTCTAATTATTACCAACGTTAATGTTATCCGTGACATAAAGAAAAGTTTTATTAACCTAATCCTGGCAATTTAGAAACTCAACACTTCTATCATAAACATACGTGTATTAAACAGAGCTAACGTTAATTGTAGTATTAAAAAAAATCACTTGATAAAGCCTGAAGGCGCGTCCATTATTCGATTTTATCAATACCTGTTGCATATGGCAGTCAATTTTGGTCAACCTCTTCACTGATGAAAAGAGACTTGAAGAAACAGGTTTGTGATTTTACAGAATAATGCTGGGGGTACTCTGGACTAAATATGTGAGCAACAACGAAGTTTTAGAGAATATAGAATCAAAGAAGGAAATTTATATTTAATATCAGGAATAGACTGCTGAAATTTCTAAGGCGCGTAACTAGG